TCCAAGTGGGAGCAGGGGTACCATCCGTTCAGCGGGGTGTGGGCGACCCGACCTGAAAGCTTCCGGCGCATTCATTCACCGCGCAGGGGAACCGCCACAGCCAGCGACCTGTTACTTTCGCGGGAGCTGAGCTGCGCGCTGTAGCCTGTTGGTGCAGCCTCCATGATGCGGAGTGGCAGGGCGCGGCAGATAAATGCTCTCCTGTCATCATCGCCCGGCAAGAGGTGAGAGCTTGTTGACCTCGGGGGCGGTGACAGTGACAGACTGGCAGGCCCCTTGCACTCTGCCCCGCAGTTTGCGCAAGCTCCCACCTCGAACATCAGCGCGGGCGGTGGGTGCCTGCGCGGATCTGGAAGCTAGCAACGAGCTGGCTAGAAACCCGCCGAAGGCTCCGTTTCCCACCACATTACGGCCCGGCGCGAAGTGGTCGGCATCACAGTTGCACGGTGGCTCACGACTTCACCTCGGCAGAGGTGGCCGCCCCTGTCGCCGGTAGAAAGGACGTCACTCATATCAAACCCGAACTCCGGCTCTCCGGCTGTCGCCGCAATATCAGCCGACACGGTAACACAAGCGGTCGCCGCGATTCAAGATAGAACTAACTGCCCAATGCGCATCGAGACTGCAGCAGCTGAGAAAAAGAAACAAAAGTCTCAACCGCGCCGCTGGCGCGCACCGTCTCTCCGCCGCCGACAGCACACGACGCAGCTACAAACCGCCACGGCAGCGCTCTCCGCTTCGCACTCCAGTCTCCAGCCGACCAGGGCGAGCTGTCCAAAAACGGAGGCCCACGGACGCACACGTGTGGGTGGGCGGTTCTGCGTAATCCGTCAGAGTGGAGACTTGGAGCTCCCGTCGCCAAGCCCAAGAATTTTTTTTTTAGCGTACCCATGAACTGAGGAGGAGAAGTGCCGTTTGGGCATGGTGAAAGAAGTGAAAGTTGTTCTTTGTTCGAAGGCATCCGCCGGCAGCGCCCAGGCCCCTGGTGGGAAAGCAAGGACGGTCACCAATCCAGTCCGTCCAACCGAAAAATGGAAGCCGCTGTCATGAAGGTACGCGGGTGGTACCTGGCCCTCGGTAAGAGGCGCCGCCAAGCCCAGCACTTCTGCCGCTCTGGCGCAGGAGCTGGAGCAGGGAGGCAATGTCCCCTCCATGTCGCCCCGTCCGTTTTTTTTTCACGCTCGCCCGTGCGGCAACTAGTCTCTGGCGCTATCCCTACCCTCCCAGTCCTACTTGTTCCGTCCCTTCCGCCTCTTCTCTCCTCTTCTCCCTCCCTCCAGCATTGCTCCTTGACTCGCCTTTCAGGTTATCGAATTTTTGGTCGTTGTCGGTGTGAAGTTGCAGGACGTCGTCGGTCGCAGGACGAGGTTGTTACAGACGGAAAGATACGGGACCAGGACGCAGGTTTTATTGTTGACTCGCAACCAAGGTCAGTCTCCAGATTCCTCCCAGCCTCAGCCATCCTCGTCGAAACTCCTCCTTCTCCTCGGGTACCTCTCGAACCTTGGACCTCGCCACACGGCATCTGCATTTGGGAATGGCCTCTTCGTCGCATGGCTTGCAATTGGGCATGGCGCTGTGGCGCACCGAAACCGCTCAACGGCTTGGCAATGCGCCCGGATACCCTCCCGCGTCATCGGCTCGATGCTCTTTCGCCGAACGGTCTGAACGGGTCGCTGTCGCTTTCTGTTCGAGGCCCGCAAGACCATGGTTGGCGCACATGGTCGCCGTCATCAAGACCTTGCGCCGTAGCTCTCAGCTCGAGTCCGGCCTACTCGTCAGTGGCGCCGCCGACGAGACGCGCGTGGAACTATAATGGACCCTCAACCCGCGGTCACGCCCCGTACCTTGGTTGGATGTTGCCATCGCTGCTGGGTCCACCCAATCGAATGCGACAGTCGACAAGCCACCGAATAGCCGGAACCTTCCCAAGCCGACATTAGCAGCCTGCCTCCAAAGTTTGCCCGTTTCGCCTCCCCAACGCTCGTGACAGACAGCTTATAATCGACCATCCGCCCACCCCCCTCCCCCCCCCTGGCGCCTGGCTCTCACGGTTCTAGCGTCTTCCCAGAGTCGAGAGAGGTAGAGTAGAGTTGAGGGGGGTTCCCGAGGAGACGAGAGGAAGCGACAAACTTGAACTAGGCTGTGGAGGGTGTGAACTTCTTTTTCTCGCGACTAACCCCCATCTGATAGACATCACCAATATGTCTTCGCTCTCTCGTCGCGCATGCTACAAATGTGGTGAGCTCGGTCACCACGCCGAGGCTTGTGCCTCGCCTCACAGGCTCTGCTACAACTGTAGGTTTTATTCCACTGCGCTATTTAACCGTCCAGATTGCTAACGTGTTCCACGCAGGCAAGCAGCCCAGTGAGTACAGCCCGGGTCCGGCTGACCGACTTGACGCTGACATGCATCTTATCAGATCACGAGTCCAGCGAGTGCCCGCTGCCTCGCACCACCGAGTCCAAGCAATGCTACCACTGCCAGGGCTTGGGCCACGTCCAGGCCGACTGCCCGACCCTTCGCCTTAGCGGCGCTGGCGCTACCGGTCGCTGCCACAACTGCGGTCAGTTCGGCCACTACATCCGCGCCTGCCCGAACGCGGCGAACCCTGGCGCCCCGGCTCTCGGTCGCGGCGCTCCCCCTGTTGGCCGCGGAGGCTTCGGAGGAGGCTATGGTCGTGGCGGATTTGCTGGCGGCGCTCGCCCCGCCACTTGCTACAAGTGCGGCGGGCCTAACCACTACGCCCGGGACTGCCAGGCGCAGGCCATCAAGTGCTACTCGTGCGGCAAGCTCGGCCACATTTCGCGCGACTGCACGGCTCCCAATGGGGGCCCCCTCGGCACCGCTGGCAAGAGCTGCTACCAGTGCGGCGAGCCCGGCCACATCTCTCGCGACTGCCCCCAGAAGAACAACGCCAACGGCGAACACAAGCAGGACGTCGATCTGAACGGCAACGGCGCGGCCCCGGCTCCCGTGGCTTAGGAAAGCCCGACGAAGCAGGCGACGCAGCCGGCCCAGCCTGACGACAAACTCAATGGTTCGACATCCCCCGCACGGACAAGCGAGTTGTCCTCCTGAACGACTTTGCTCATTTACGGGCTAAATGCCCTTTTCCTTATTTTCTTATCACGATGCGGTCCTATAGCCTTGCACGACTGGTTCATAAGACGATTCGGCTTCGAAACGGCGTCCAGGGGTCCTTTTTCTCTTGTCAGCTTCATTTTCAAGTAAACCAACCTTTTTCTGGACAAACGATGGGACGGAAAAGATGTACGGTCTCCTTTGGCAACACGACGATTCTCTCTCTCTCTCCGCATTTACACGCTCTTGTCTCGGAATGGCACTACGACACTTTGCATTCTTTCCGGGAGCTAGGATCTGGACATGCAGGGCTTTTTGCGCATTTGTCATGCCGCCATACACTAGACTCTCTCCCTTTGGAAACGAGGGATTTCAGCGATACCCCTGCCACGAGCAACGACGACGCAGCGATGGTGTTCTGGACCATTTGACACCAGGGATTGTTTTATTACTCTCGGATTCAACTTCTATCTGGGCTCATGGATACATGTGGAGCGAGACATCGGTGGAAACTGGATTCATTACGATCGGACAGCAGAATCTAACCTGGTTCTCGTTGGGTCCTTCTCGTCACAGCTCTTTGGCGTGGCTGCGGAAATGTCGTCCGAGATGTCACGCTGCTGTTTTTGATGTGGGCATGGAATTGAGAGTGGTGGTAGGAGGTGAGGTGGAAGTTGAGGGTGTTGTGCGGAAGAGAAGTGGCTGGCAGTGCTTGAGTTGGGAGTGAAGAGGGAAGGCCGCTGCTCGTTGGTTGTGTTGCTGTATGTGTTGAATAGTGCGTATACGAAGTTGTCGCAATGCTTACTGTTGAGGTGATGAGTGAGTTGTGGGTGTAGAATTGTGGTTGACGGTTTTGCCGGACAGGGGTGTCCATATCGGGATGGGCGCACCAAGTGAGGCCCTCGTGGAGCAGTGTCTGCTGGCACGATCGCCGCTTGAGATGATGACTCTGCGGCTGGATGTATTGAGGTCAGTGAGGGGCTGGACTGCCGAGGACCTTGGCGTTGGGCTTCGGAATGCCGGTGATGCGTTTGCGCTTACATTTGCTCTTGAGAGATACCCGTTTCTTTTCAGCTTGGGTTCATGTTCAGCCTGGTGGAGAGAACACAATCATATAAATCTTGGAAAGGCGCGAAAAAGGGGAGGAGGACAAGAGCGCTAGGAGACGAATCTCGACGTAAGACTTGTGAAGAGAAAAGTCGGAATAGAACAGATCTGTTTTTGACGCGGCCGTCATAAACGAGCAGGATATTTATCAGTTGTTCCTGGTCCGCATCGGGCCAGATCGCAATGGACCTTCCCAACTGTCCGAATGTCGTAATGAGATGGCTGGCTTGTTCAGTTCTGATATTCCCTTGTGATACCCGCAACTGTGAGGTTGACCGCGCGACCAAATGCGTAATGATGAGATTGGCGAACGCCCGAGCGCAGAGACGACGTCAACTTCTCCAGAAGGTAGAACAAGGCTTTGCGCCCTTGCAACTTGTGTATCTATCACTGCAGGTGTAAGTTTTGGCAGACGTTTAGACAGTTACACAGTCCTGTGTGTTGGAAATTGTGGTTGCACAAGATCAGGAGGTACGTAGAAGAGGCTGCTTGAGCGGCGCAGTCGGAGCGAGGGAGGGGCAAGCCACTGAGGGGCTGGCGCGAGGGGCGCGGGATCGACGGTGGGCTATGGAGTGCGGGGTGATGGTGGGGTTGGCTGGCTGACAGAACGGTAAGCTTTGGGCGAGGGCGTTGTCGCGCGGGTGGAGCGACGAAGCTGGGTAAAGATTGAGAGAGCACTCACCGATTGATGCTCTTGTCGTTTACTATTGACGTGAATCGGGGGGTGAGGGGGGAGTTGTCGGATCGTCGAGTTGCGCAAGCCGCAGTCGGTGGCATGAGGTGCAATAGCTGTGAGTCCAATCAATAAGCCCTTTTAGCTCAGTGGTAGAGCGCGGCACTCGTAACAGTTCTCCTGATCCTGAAATGCCGAGGTCTACGGTTCAATCCCGTAAGGGGGCAGTACGTCTTTTTTTTTAATTAGTACCTATTGCTCCTCATAGCCCCCTTTTTGTGTTTTTCTTACAGCTCTTGGTTTTTTCTGTTTCCCTTCCCCCTCCAGCAGGCGCTCCTGTTTTCTCTCTGTTGTGCCGTCTGGAGAGCGCCTTTGTGCACCCCTTGGCGTCACAAACGGGAGGCATTTACGTTGCCCCTTTTGAGATACGCCCAGACCTCTTCTTTGACTGCCTCAAGGGAATGCACGCCGCCCTTCGCATGGCCAAGCGGCATACATGCACGAGGAGCAAGTATTAGAAGCCGCTGCCTGGCAGTGACGCACATGCCCTGCTGGTCAGCCTGCAGACAATGGTCGAGATAAGCTAAAAATGGATGCGTCAATGATTGGACTCTCGGCGGATACCTGCCGTGGAGTGCATCGTTGTTGTTACAATGGAGATGCCACCCGACAGGGTTCCTTGGCTGGTGGCTCGACGCTGCTAATTTCGACGAACGTGTAAATCCACCAGAAAACGTCGTACCTTACTGGCCATGGCCAGAAGCGGGCAACGGCACCCGGAGCCGATGGTGAATACCGGAGCAGCCGCGGACGGCATGTAGGACAGGACCGGTTTTGAGAGACTTTGGTGTGGCTGTTACATCCCCCCTCATCTAACCCAATCCACGACCCTGCCGACCGCTTGCCGACAGACACTGGTCGTAACAGGTGGCGCTCAGGGGAGAGGGGTAATACAGAAGCAAGTCCTTACAGACAGGGGGGGTCACTGGTTAATGGTCGTATGTTATTGTAAGTAAAGCAGCACACGTGTTAGTACATTAGGACATAATCGAAGAGGGTTTAATTGACGAGCGAATACTTACGTAAGGAACCCAGAAGATTCCTCACACCAGCGTACGATAATACTTATTTTTTTTTTTTGACGCGTCGCCGATCTCCCATGTGCGTCTGACAATCTTTCGAAGCCGTTACCGCAGCCATGATGCGTTCTCGACATCAGAACCTGGAGCCCCCAGCCGACGGCATTGATCCCGACAATTACGGCCCAATAATTCTAGCGACTTGCTGGCTCGTTGAAGTACTCTCCGGCATCATCATCTGCCTCAGGGTGTACTGCAAGCTCAAGCGGCGACCTCTGGTACGATGATTACATCTTGATAGCCGCATGGGTGGGTGTCTCCCCGTCTGATCTAATTCTGATGTCAACAGAAGATCTAACGGAGCCAAGCTTTTCCAAACCGCCAACGTCATTGTTACCACCGTCAATGTGTCGCTAGGGGGCGGTCAACACATATACCGTCTCGACCCGGCCGTAATCCCGATTCTCGGGCTTACCGGGAACGTCGCTGGCACCCTGTCCATCATTGCAGCGCTGCTGAGCAAAGCATCCTTCGGTTTCACACTGATCCGTCTGACCAACGGGGCGATAAAATGGTGTATTTATGTTCTCCTGGTCACGATGAACATCTTCCTCGCTATGAGCGCCGTCTTCATCTGGGTGCGGTGCACCCCGGTAGCTAGGACATGCCGCCACGAGGTGCGCGGGGCCTGCTGGGCTCCGATTGTGAACACCAGCTATGGGTTGTTCTCTGGCGGTGAGCGGGAACCTGAAATCCTCCCCCATACACCTGTTCGGGACTGACAAACTCTCGTGCGCACAGTGTACTCGGCGTTTGTCGATTTTACCTTGTCATTCCTGCGGTGGCCACTGATCTGGAACTTGCAAATTCGCCTACGGGAGAATCTTGGCGTAGTTGTGGCGATGAGCATGGGTGTTTTGTAAGTTGTAACCATATGAATTCCCACGAGTGTATTCTAACGACTTTCCCTCCTCATAACAGTGCTGGTCTGGGAGCCATTGCCAAAGGTTCTCCAGCTGCACAACCTGTCTGATCCAGACTCAACATGTGGGTCCAACAAACAAATCCGATACCAAAGCTCTTTGTTTCTTCGCTGACATCAATACCCAGACTACAAAAGCGAGATTGTCATCTGGGGCACAGTTGAGACGGCCGTGACCATCATCGCCGCCTCGATTCCCTTCCTTCGGATTCTCGTGGTGGAATCCCGGCCCTTGCGGGAGTGTCGGCCGCAGACCCCAAAGTTCATGTTTCCGAGAGAAGTCAGCGTGGAACACGAAATTGCCATGGATAAAGATTCGGCGGAGTGGGAGCAGTTTCAAGAGATCACGAATCCTGGCAGGGTGGTTTGTTAATTGTGAGGCTGGAACCAAGTAGCTACTAAACAAAGGGTCGGGTGTGTACTTCACCCCAGGGATGACACTCAGGGGCACCGAGGTCTCTAAGTTACTGATCTCCCAGGCATTACATCGTCAGGCCCGGAAACGATGTATGCAACACCAAGTGGCAAACCCACCGATAGCCACGACTATAATGATCGGAATGCCGGCTACCAGATACAAAAACAGCAAGGTGTTTATCCCTCCGCCCCATCTATCCACCTTCCCCCGCTGGAGCTCCGACCCGGGAATCCACTGCGTAATCCTGTCCCCCTCAAAACGCCCTCAATCACCGGTGGCCGGGGACTCAGCGTCGGAAGGTCGGTTGTCTGTCACTCAATAAGCCATGCCAGCACGTATGCGACGCTTATTATCTCCCGGCTAGAGCTGGAGCCGCTCGCCCCGGTGCGGACGAAGGTCAGCACACACGACGGTCATGTGGTGTCGAGGCCGACTGTGGTAGGCAGCGGGTAGCCCGGCGTGCAGCAGTAGGCTGTTGAGTTGGAAGCTGTCATCGTTGAAATGGTTGACGTCGTAGTTCCTAGCCACATGGCCGGCCAACCCTGGGGGGGTATGGGCGGGGCTAAAGGTGAGCTAGCCACCACTGCCAGCCGGGTCGAGGCAGGCCGTGTAGCGCACATCGGACTGGTCGGGGAAAAGTCGTACGATAAGTAAAGTCCTTCTCCTCCTTAATTGAGTCCCCTTCCCGCGCCGCAGTCTCTCACTGTCGAAACTCCTCCTTGGAAAGACATTCGCGCGGACAGAATTGAATAACATATCTATCCAGCTCCCGTCTCATGGGTGCAGGAGAAGTCCACGTCGTGTCGTGTCGTGTCGCGTACGTAGCGGGTTTGGGCAGTGGCAACGCGCACGGACCCCCTGTTACCCCTCACTAGGGTATTATTGCAGTCCCAGTGCTCCTCTCCGTGGTTAGGCTCCGACACGTGATATGAGGTGGGCATCTCCGAAATGCGATTTCTCCCGATATTTCCACCTCCATCTAGCTACAGTACCTTTGCCTTGAGAACGCTGTGTCGAGGCAATTCTTCAACTCAACCCAGCAACACGCTACAGAGAACCCAGAGAAAGCGGAGAGACAGAAGAGGAAAGTACACCATCCATGGCTACACCTGTGGGATCGGAGGCCAAGCACAAGTCCAGCAGAGATGCGGATCTGCATCGCTATTCCCCTCTGTCGGAACATGGCAATATCCGCTTGGTTCGCCTATTGCCGCACAAAGACGAGAGAGCCCCTATTCAATGCCAGCTTTTCGAGTACCCCTTGGAGGAGCTAAGTCAACAAGCGACCCATCTCTACGAGGCCCTGTCGTACGTGTGGGGTTCCGAGGAAGACAACATGAAACAACCCATCTACATCCACTCATTAGACGGCAAGGGCAAGGGCGACAATGCTTCAGCTGGAAATGTCCGTTGCTTACGCGTCACAACAAACCTCCACGCAGCACTATCGCATATCCGAGATCGCGTCATGGATCGCGTCTTGTGGATAGATGCCATCTGTATCAACCAGGAGGACAACAAGGAGAAGGGAGGGCAGGTTCAATCCATGGCGAAGATTTACGCTAGCGCCAATCGTGTCATTGTCTGGCTTGGAGAAGCGGCAGGCGATACGGACGGGGCATTTGAAGCGCTCTGCCAGGCCGCTGCCACGGGTCGCATCGGCCTGTCAGCCTGCCGGACAATCCCCGCTCTGCTGGAACGGCCATGGTTTCAACGGATTTGGGTATGTGATAGTGGTGAACGAATAACATCCGGCACAAGTATCTCTCGCTGATAAAATCGACTCTCAGATCCTCCAAGAAGTTGCCGCAGCTCGACAGATCCTGATAAAGTGCGGCCCTGACGAAGTGGATGGGTCTGTATTTTGCTCAGGCATCGAGGCATCGAAGCTGCTCGATGACGATAACGCGCATCCAAACTTGCGGGCTCTGGTCCCTCCCATTACCTACCTCATGCGACATGTGACCTTCTGGCCTCGGGCCGCGGCAAGTCGCACAGGTGCATTCTCCCTGAAGATTCGCCCTCTGGCTGAGCTGGTAGACATGTACCATACTCACAAGGCCTCAAACCAACTCGACAAGATCTATGCCTTGCTTGGCATGTGCTCTGATGACCCCAAGGCGGCAGGGCTATCGGCCGATTATGGCGTTTCGTGGGAAGACGTCTTTCGGAAACTCATCTGTTTCTCCATCTCCAACCGGATATCTGTGCGAGTATGGGGGGATAAGCAAAGCGTTGCCGTGATTCGGGGTAAAGGCCGAATTCTTGGCAAGGTATCCTGCGTTCAAGGAGGCGATGCTCGAGGGGATGTGCAGAAGGTGGGCATCACATGGAAGAATGCGCATGGCAGTTTCGTCACGGAAGAAGAAGGGAGCTTTTTACTGTCTTTGCAGGCCTCGGCGAAACCTATCCAGGTAGGGGATGCCGTTTGCCAACTGGAAGAAGCATCAAACCCCACAATCATCAGGCTGTGCGACGGCTACTCGGCAGTCATTATGATTCAAGCCCCCCTATCCAGGACATATGGCAAGCGGTTGGAGCATTTACGTCGAATCATTACCTCTTTGGTCGATCTCGTACTTGTTTGGGACTGGGAAGTACCCCAGTACGATCAGGGTCAAGACTACGAGTCTTTCAAGGGCAGCCAAGGAGGCTCTGCACAGCCACAGCCGGCATTGCAGGATGATCTAGAAAAAGTTGTCAGATTGTGGAATTTCGGAATACTGTTGAGTGCAATGGGAAAATACG